TGTGTGTGTGTGTGTATGATTGTGTGGTGTTTCCTTTTGTGGGAAACATTCAAACACCTGCATCTGGAATTCTTTTCTCTAGGATCTTTTCAGCTCTAGAGAACGCCCCAATAACCAGAGCTGGCATAATTTTCAGGGCCTAGTGCAGAATGCAAATGTTGGGCTCCTTGCTCAAATTCAGGAAAAAGCCAGTTACAGGTACTAAAGCATGAATATTTTTCTTTAAAAATATTTTATTACTATGATATGATAGAGGTAATAATGATACACATATAATAACAGAAACTTACAAATTGCAAAAAAAAATTTTTTGATGTCCTAATTTTATGTACAATAAATTATAATGCTTTATTCATGTGATTTCTTGATTGATCAACAGATTTTTTTCTGGTTTGCTTTTCTGCAAATTCACTGAATAGCTCACACAAATTTCTATTTTTAGCAATTTCTTTTCAATGTACATCACTCAAAGTGATGGCAGTCATTCTTGGCAAATGCAAGATCTCGAGATCTTAAGTGGTCCAAACGGAGAGAACAATATGAATAAAGGTCAAAAGCGGGGAGTGGGAGGAGGGGAGTAAAATAAAAGATTGGACAAGTCAGGTAGGTAGAAGTCACAACAAGAAGAGTCTTAAATATTAGGCAAAGGAGCTTCACCTAGTCCGTGGTTGATGGATTTAAACTGGAGGAGAATAGAGAAAGGAATGAAATACCCATGGACCACATATTAAGCATAGTTGCTTTACACATTTAATCATCATTTAATAGCCTCTGAACAACAGAAGTAATGTCTCCATCTTGGTAATGAAAAGCCTAAGCTCAGAGAGAATGAATTTTCCACTAGTGCCACAGCTAGAAAATGACAGAGCGGATATATGAATGCTGACATATCTGCTTGAAGAGTCCAGCTTCCTTCCATTACATGAATGGTGGTGTACTTCAGGAATGGTACCTCTGGCCTACTGACCTGCCTACTGACCATGATGGAAAGGAAAAAGGCTTGAAACCAAAAACCCAATTAAGGTTCTAATAACTGAACTGAAAGAAAATGATAGTGACAAGGAAAATAGAAAAGAGGAAATGCTTCAAGAGAACCTGCAAGAGTAGAGTCAATAGGACCTAGTGAGTTCTTGGACACAGCTGGTGAAAAATGACAGCAATGAAAATTTTCTCAGTAATTGTGAGATGTTAGTTCCACCAGCAAATAATGAACAGAGATGCAAAAAATCAGAGTGAGATGACAGGTGATGGAACACTGAGTCATGACGGGACATCCAAATAGAAATGTCTGATGGGCATAGTAAGATATGTGTCTAGAAAGGGGAAGAAGCCGTTGCTGAGGATGCATATTTAGAAGTCATTCACATAGAGCCAGAGCCACAAGAAAGGATGAGGTCACCAAGCAAGAGTGGATAGGAAAAAAAGTGCCAAGTACAAAACTGTAAGAAATGACCCAATTTAGACCATTCTTTCAGAAGCTGGGGAGATGTAAAGAGAGATGCAGCTATATTCTCAGAAAGCAGTTGTTTAAAACTCAGTTAAGACTGGAGTGGTCAGTATCAAACGTGTCCGAGAGGGTGCAGGAGAATAAATATGAAAAATGATGGCTGGATTGGAGACGCAGGGTCGTTAGCAATCTTTGTGAGATAAATTTCAGTCAAGGGGTGAGACCAAAATTCAGGACGGAGTAGGAAGTGAAAAGTGGAGGAAGTGAATGTAGAAATTTGTTTCTAGAAATAATGAAAGGAAGAGATGGAGATGTAAAAATATAAGAAATCTAGAAACAGAAAGGGAACATAGTCTAGTCCCCTCACTTTACAGATGAGGAAACTGAGGCCTATAGCAGTTAACCAGTACCATTACTTAACCTGGTCAACAACAGAGCTTAGACAGAAAACCAATAAAGATGGAATGGTAACTCAGGAGGGATAAGGATCAAGGGGAGATTTTTCAGTTTCCAAACAAGAGTCCATTTAATTCCTCAATTTCCGTTTAGGACCTGGCTTCCTTCCTCTGGTACCATAAACTCATGGTCTTGAAATTACTTTCAACATATCTGAAAGAAAGATCATCATTATCCATAGAAAACCATGCCTCTGATGGCTCACTTACCGGAGAAAATGCAATGGTGTTGGTTTGAACTAAGCAAAGGAAAAAGAAATTTGTTTATCACACTTTTTTCCTCTTAGAGGAATTTTATAGTCCTAAAGCCTGGAAGACAGGCAGGATTACTCATTAAATTTGAATACATCACTATAATAATCTTGATAATACTCCTCCCTTTTCCATTTTGGAGATAGCAAATAACCCCAAGACAACTACCCACCTACAGAAATGGGCACACAAGGGTAAAGGCATTAATTTAAACAAAACAAAACAAACAAACACCCAATTATGAATAATTCACAATGAGCTGGCAAACATCATTTTGCTAAGAGTAGCATAGTTCATCAAGAAACACCCAGATGGTGCGTATATAAAGGCAAACGAAAACTCTGTTTGAGTAGGACATTTGCCGTCAGAGCTTACCTCTAGGAACAAGCGCGGCAGTCTGGACACCATGTCTGTGCGCTTTTCTTCTGCATCCAGACGCCTTGGCTCTTGCGGAGGAGCGGGCTCTGTGCGACTCTCTAGTGGGGGAGCTGGCTTTGGGGTCGGCAACGCGTGCGGTGTGCCAGGCATTGGAAGTGGCTTCTCTTCCGCCTTTGGGGGCAGCTCATCGGCAGGAGGCTACGGCGGAGGGCTGGGCGGAGGAAGTGCTTCCTGCGCTGCCTTCAGCGGGAATGAACACGGCCTCCTCTCCGGTAATGAGAAGGTGACCATGCAGAACCTCAACGACCGCCTGGCGTCCTACCTGGACCATGTGCGCGCCCTGGAGGAGGCCAACGCCGACCTGGAGCAGAAGATCAAGGGCTGGTATGAGAAATTTGGGCCTGGTGTTTGCCGTGGTCTTGATCATGATTACAGCAGATACTTCCCAATCATTGACGACCTTAGGAACCAGGTAAGAAACACGAGGACTTCAGGGTAAACACCCATGAGTAGTTAGTCACATATGCGCATGCGCGCGCCACCCCCACCCTCCCACAACACACACACACACCACACACACAAAAGCCTAAGCCATCACACAGCAACGCTTTGCTCAGCTTCTAATTTGGGGTAGTTTATTTATTAATATCAAAAATAACATATTAAAATTCTAATCTTCGAACATCACTCACTCATCATCTGGTATGAGGTATGTATATGCTTTAGTACTATTAAAATGTCAAAAACTGCCCAATATTAGCTATATATTTATAAGCTTTTCCATAGGTTTTTTTTTAAATGGATGAGGTGGAGAGTAAAAGAGGTTATACTTAAATTTTCCATTTTCAAAAATCATCTTATTTTTGAAGACAGAATGCCTAAAACAGTATAATTTCATATGTGATTTTCTTTCAAGGAAATCTGAACTTTTAAAAATATGTCCATCATCTTATTATTGGAGACAGAATTCCAAAGACATTAGTATAATTTCATAGGTGATTTTCTTTCAAGGAAATTTGAACTTTTAAAAATATGTCCTCATTCTTAACTCTCCATTTATCAGATAATTTCTGCAACGACAAGTAATGCCAATGTTGTCCTGCAAAATGATAATGCAAGACTAACAGCTGATGACTTCAAACTAAAGTGAGTAGAGAAGAGACATCAAAAAAAGTGACATAAGCATTTCCTTCTTTTATTTAGGCTCTTTGAGGTCAGCTCCATTCTTTGCTTTGGCTTATTTGTTTTAAAACAAATGTATATAAGAATGACTGACTGAATTACATCTTTTACTTGGGAAAGTTGGGGCTTGACACAAATGAATGTCAAGATCATAGGAAAGAGAATTTTGAATATTCTCATTCTCTTGCTTCCAAAAAAAAAAAAGTATGCATTGCAGTATGGGCGATCCACCTGAAGTTTTGAGTATATTTTAACAGTGTGACCTGAAAGCTTAGTTGGAGTTTTATGAGGACCGAAAAAGTGATGACTACTGTGATGAAGTTTTCCAATTATTTTTCTAAGGTTTGAAAATGAACAGGCCCTTCACCAGAGCGTTGACGCGGATGTCAGCAGTTTGCGCCGGGTCCTGGACGAGCTGACCCTGTGCAGGACAGACCTAGAGGTCCAGCTGGAAACGCTGAGCGAGGAGCTGGCTTACCTCAAGAAGAATCACGAGGAGGTAGGTGCTCTCCCCCCACCCCCTACTCCTGGTTTCACAACCGGCCTTCCTCCCAAATTAAAAAATGCATTTCAGATGACAAACATAGTATCTTGAATCAAATATTCAAGAAGGAACTTGTCGATTTCTCCATACGGCTTAGATTATTTGAAATGTTTCTCTGCATCCCCCTCAAATGAAACAAACGGTAACAGAAGTTTCTAACCCTATGGGTCGTGTCTGTCTGGCTCCCTTTAGATATAGCCAGATCCTAATATGGTTAAACACTTTTATTTAAGGAGATGAAGGCTCTGCAGTGCGCGGCCGGAGGCAATGTGAACGTGGAGATGAACGCGGCGCCTGGCGTGGACCTCACAGTGCAGCTGAACAACATGCGGGCCGAGTACGAAGCTCTGGCGGAGCAGAACCGCAGGGATGCGGAGGCCTGGTTTAACGAAAAGGTAAAAAGCACGCTGTTGCGCGCTGCCGTGGCACCGGGTGCTGATGCAAGCATCACCCTAACAAGGCTCCCAACGTTTCAGAGCGCTTCGCTGCAGCAGCAAATTTCGGACGACGCTGGCGCCACCACCTCAGCTCGGAACGAACTGACCGAGATGAAACGTACCCTCCAAACCCTGGAGATTGAACTTCAGTCCCTCCTAGCAATGGTAGGTAAAAATTATGGAAAAGATTTACTTTGGAAGTTCAGAAAAATTAAGTTTCCTTCCACCTGATCATTAATTTCGTTTTTAGCCGTTCATTACTGCGCTTGAAATAAAACAGACTTGCGTTTTTCACCAGAGAATCCTCTGCCTGAAAATTATACCAAGATGCTAATAATTGTGAAACATTAGAAATTAACAAGTATAATTCTTTTGAGGTACTCGAGAAGGAAAATAGTTTTTACCTTGAATCTTCTCTCCCAAGTCAAAATATCAAAAACCACTGCCCAGGGAATGCAAAAACACATTTGCACCCCTCCTAGTTTCTTCATCTAGCCTTCCTTTTGGCCGCTTAATTGGAGCCCTTAACAGATTCCTTTCTAAGTGGCATAAACAAGCAAAGTAGAGGCATGAAGGTTGCCTGTGAAGCTAAACCTGCATGATGATAATGGTAATCTCTTTCATTAAGGGTTTGCCCAGGACTTTCACCCACAGGCATCCACAATCAGCCTGGGGCTTGGGCAGAGCAGACTTTATAATTCATGTCATTATTTTCAAGAGAAGACTCTGAGGTTGAACGAAGTGAAGCAATTTTCCAAGAGCCCCATTGTTGGATATGAAGGAACCAGAATGTCTCACCAAATTTTCCAAATCCGAGATCTAAGTTTTTCCCACTATGACTAGTAAACCTCGAGAAGAGGCTATACATGTATGTAAAATTTTTGCAGATGAATGGGTAAGACAACTTCATCCTCATTCCATATAAAATTAGCACAAGCCCCTGTCCATGAGATAAACCCTGTATTAACTCATTTGAATTCACAAGCCAATGAATCCAACTATTTAAAGCCATTCTTTTCCCGGGGGTCATTCTAATTCTGGAAAGTTTATACAGCTCACTAGAGGATTACCTTTTTAACAGAAGAGCTATAATCCTCATGAGACAAGGCTGTCATAGGATAGAAATGAGATAGCAAAGTGTAGGGGGACTTTTATCCCCGGAAAAAGTGACAAATTGTGCCAGACTGTACAAGCACAGGATGTAAGTCAGGGGCGGAGCTTTAGTTTTCACTTTTCCAACACTCCTGGGGATATGAGTGGCCCTCACCACCAACTGTGTTATTCTCAAATAGATTAAAAATAGTATATCATCTAATAAGGGCAATAATCCATGCTGAACAAGAGGAATCTTTCAGGTGAATATGGTTATTATGTCAGGATAACTCTTTGAAATATCTCTTAAATGCCTGGCCTTATTCTAAAGCAACAGTGCAACATTTTCTACTAAACTATGTCTTGCTGATCCACAGAAACACTCCCTGGAGTGCTCCCTGACAGAGACTGAGGGCAACTACTGCGCGCAGCTGGCCCAGATCCAGGCGCAGATCGGGGCCTTGGAGGAGCAGCTGCACCAGGTCAGAACCGAAACTGAGGGCCAGAAACTGGAGTACGAGCAGCTCCTTGACATCAAGGTCCACCTGGAAAAAGAAATTGAGACCTACTGCCACCTGATCGATGGAGAGGATGGGTAAGTCCTGTTTCCATTGAGAAAACAATTTTAAGGTTATTAAAGACTTTTTGAAATCCAATACAGAGTATCTATGATCCAGGTCATATGTACATAAACCCCTTCTAGTTTATGCTTAAGAATAAACATAAGAATCCAATCTTATGATAAGATCTCCATAAGATCTCCAATCTTACATCATTCATCTTAAATCAGTTGCCTTAGCAAAATACAATGAAATAATTAATACAAACTTTATACTTTAACAGCTCTTGTGTTAAATCAAAAGGCTACGAAGGACCAGGAAATCTGATAAGAGGTAAACAAAAGCTGTGTTGAGCATTCAGTGTTTGTTTGTATATGTTTCAAATGATGAGTTCATTATTTTCCCTTTATGAATTTGATCAATTCTAACAATTCATATGTGTCATTTTAGACTCATCTAAAACCACCATGGTTAAAACAATTGTGGAAGAAATAGATCCTCGTGGCAAAGTTCTCCCAACCAGAGTTCATGTTATGGAAGAGAAGTTTACCAAAACCAGCAACATGAAGGGTGAACAGAGGGTGCCTTCTTGACCCCAAAAAGGGTGCCCCTAAATCCAGATGTCAGGTCGAAGCTAGGTTCCTAAATAAGAGCCCTCTTATTTTTCTGCTTTTCTTCCAATGAACTAAGACAAGTTATTTTTAGAATAGTAACATTTCTTTGGCTTTCTTTATGGTGGTGTTTCAATAAAAGTTCTTCCTGTTGCAAGTCATCCTCACTGGTTCTGGTCAATCTTTACATTATAAATATACCCCCCAATGGGAGCTGAATTTGTTTTTAATTTCTTCCTTTTAATATAATGGTCTTTGCAAGCTAAGAGTAAGTCTAACAGGCAAACTAGTTGGTGTCTTTTTCACGTCTTTGTAAAATTCTAAACCTTCCTTCCTTCAATAAATACTTGTTGAACACACACTAAGCACCAGCAACGAGAATAAAACAGCTAACAAAATCCAATCACCTTGTGTAACATGCTCACAGAGTGGAAATAAGGAATTGAAGAATCAGAAATAAATAGAGACTAGAACAATACAAAAGATCAACAAAACTAAGAGTTGTTTTTTTGAATAGATAAAATTGACAAATCTCTAACTAGACTAACCAAGAAGAGAGAGGACTCAAATAAAATTATAAATGAAAGAGGAGACATTCAACTGATGCCAAGAGAACACTAGAACATTTATACGCCAACAAACTGAATAACAAGAGAATCATAACAGAATACTAGAATATTTATATGCCAACAAACTGGATAATCTAGAAGAAAGAAATCCCTGGAAACATACCACATACCTAGACTGAATCATGAAATAGAAAATCTGAATAGATCGATAACGAGTAAGGAGATTGAATTGGTAATTGCAAACTTGTCAGTGAAGAAAAGCCCAGGACTAGGTGGTTTCACTGGTGAATTCTAATATTTAAAGGAGAATTAATGCCAATCCTCCTCAAACTCTTTCAGAAAAATTAAGGAAGTGGGAAAACTTCTAAACTCATTTCACAAAGCCAGCATTATTCTGATACCAAAGCCAGACAAAGACACTACAAGAAAATTACAGACCAATATCCCTGGTGAACATAGACACAAAAATCTTCAACAAAATATTAGCAAACAAATTCAACAGCACATTAAAAGGATCATAAGCCATGATCAAATGGGATTTATTATCCCTTGTATACAAGACGGTTCAACATACACAAATTGATAAATGTGATACACTACATTAACAGAAGGAAGGAGAAAAATCATACGATCATCTCAATAGATGCTGAAAAAACATTTGACAAAATTCCAGCCCTTGCATATAAAAACACTCAGCAAATTAGATATAGAAGGATGTACCCCAACATAATAAAGATCATATATGCCAATTTCACACTAACATCAGACTCAGTGGTGGAAAACTTAAAGCTTTTCCTCGAAGATCATGTCCACCCTCTCCATTTTTATTCAGTATAGTACTGGAAGCCCTAGCCAAAGCAATTAGGCAATAAAAAGAAAATAAAAGCCATCCAAATCAGAATAGAAGAAGCAAAATTACCTCTGTTTGCAGATGACATGATCTTATATACAGAAAACCCTAAAGACTTTATCAAAAACTATTAGAACTGATAAATTCAGCAAAGTTGCAGGATACAAAATCAACAGAAAAATAATCAGCTGCATTTCTATATTGTAACAAATTATCCCCAAAAAATTAAGGAAACAATCTCATTTACAACAGCATCAAAAAGAATAAAATACTTGGACGAATAAACTTAACTGAAGAGAGAAAAAACTTGTACATTGAAAACTGTAAAACATTGATAAAAGAAATAAAGCAGATACAAATAAATGGGAAAACATCTATGTTCATAGATTGGAAGAATTAATATTGTTAAAATGTCTATACTACCAACATTATCTACATAGTCAAACAATCCCTATCAAAATCCCAATGGCATTTTTTTACAGAAATAGAAAAAAATGATTCAAAAATTCATAAGGAAACACAAAAGACTCTTAATAGCCAAAGCAGTTTTGAGAAAGAACAAAGCTGAAGGCATCATACTTTCAAATTTCAAAATACATTACAAAGCTACAGTAATTAAAACATTACAGAAGATATACAAATGGCCAATAAACTCATGAAAAGAGGCTCAACATCATAATCATTAGGAAATGCAAATCAAAACTGCAATGAGATACAGCCTCACACCCATTAGAATGGCTACTATCAAAAAAATAGAAAATAACCAGTGTTGTGAGAATGTGGAGAAATCAGAACCCTTGTGCACTGTCGGTAGGAATGTAAGATGGTACAGCTCCTGCAGAAAACACTACTACTGCAGTACCTTAAATAATTAAAAACAGAATTACTGTCTGATCCAACAATTCCACTTCTGGGTAAATACCCAAAAGAATTGAAAGAAGGGTCTTGAAGAGGTATTTTCATAGTCATGTTCACCGCAACATTTTTCACAATAACTAAAACGTGGAAGCAACTCAAGTGTCCATCGAGAGATGAATGGATTAAGCAAAAGGCGATACATACATACAATGAAATATTATGTGACCTTAAAAAGCAAGGAAATTCTGACAGATGCTACAACACGGATGAACTTTAAGGACATGATGCTAAGTGAAATAAGCCAGTCACAAAAAGACAAATTCTGCGTGATTCCACTTACATGAGGTACTTGAGTAGTAAAAGTGATAGAGAAAGTAGAATGGTGGTTGCCAGGGGCTGGGAGGAGGAAGAAATGGGGAGTTATTGTTTAATGGGTATAGAGTTTCAGTTTTACAATATGAAAATAGTTATGGAGACGGATATTGGTTGCACAGCATTATGAATGTATTTAATGCCACTGAACTGTACCCTTAAAAATGGTTCAGTGCTAATTTTACGTTCTGTGTATTTTACTGCAATGGGAAAAAACAGTATGGTACTGGTATAAAGACAGACATAGGTCAATGGAACAGAATAGAAAGCTCAGAACTAAACCCACACGTGTACAGTCAACTGACTTTTGACAAGGGGTCAAGGATACAACATCGGAAAATGGTAGATTCTTCAACAAATGGTTTTGGGAAAACTGGATATCCATATGTAAAAAGAGTAAAACTGCACCCCCTACTCTACACTAGACACAAAAATCAGTTCAAAATAGATTAAAGACCTAACAGAGAGGAAGTCTTCCTGAGATTGGTCTTGGCAATGATTTCTTGGATTTGACACCAAAAGCAACAGGCAATGAAACCAAGAATATAGCCAGGACTTTTCAACATAACTTTCAGGAGAAAACTAAAAATAATGATAACCGACACTTATACTATGTGCTAGGCTCTGTTCTAAGCATCATTTAACTCTCACAACAACCCCATAAGGTATTATCATCCTCTTTTTATAGTTAAGGACACTGAGGCAGAGAGTGGTTGAGTAATTTGCCCAAGGTCACACAGGTGGTAACAGGAGTTGCTAGAAAACTAATCCAAGCAGTCTGGCTCAGAGCGTGTGTGCTTAACATAATTCCATGCTAGTGAGAACCTCATGCTTCTACCTTCTAGCAAGAGAAGGGATAAAAAAAACTAAGTGCATTCTAACTCCAATCAGTTTCACATTAAGCAGTTGTCAGAGTCTCTTTCTCAAAGAAACCAGGGAAGCCATTTGGTGAGAGTAATTAGCACAACCAGAATTGATTCTCAGAACAAAAACTAGAAATCTAGTGACAAAACAAAACTCATTCACATTCAAGAAATGCACATTTCTTAACTTGGCTAACAGAAGCATAGAATGTGAATGTTAAACAACAGCAAAAGATATGGAAGCCTGTTTGAAACTAAACGCTAAATTTATCAAGGGAAAAATCAGCGTACGATCCTTAGAACAAGATAATGTGAGGAACAACTTTATCCTGAGATAAGCAGACACGAACACTGCGTAACTTAAAGGTTAACGCAAGTCAGTTATTTCTGAGAACCCACCATAGGCTCATTATATAATGAATGTTCTAATACCCAACAGATTCTCAAGAAATGCTAATGACTTGCAGTTAAATATGCATTTCTTACCGTGAATAAAATAACCACTCTCAGGGAAGAAACATACAGGCAGAAATGACCTGGAGAATTTGTTAACTCTAAACTCCACTTCCAGAAAGGACTAAAGCACACCTAAACTTTTGTAGCAATTATTAGTTTGCGAGAAATCTCAGATTAAGAAAATTGAAGAGATTTCAGTAAACAGATGACAATGTTTCACTGAGTTGAGCATCATACATTCCAGTCCTGCTTTGATTTCAAAATTCTTTGTGATGTGTGTGGCCACTTAGCTTCCCAGCCAACTCATCTCCACAAGGCTTCTAATAACATATGCTTAAGTTACTACACCAAAGATTATAAGTTAATTGGTATTTACAAAATATCTAGAGATAAGTAGATTACGTTAATAACACTTTGCAGGCTCATAATACCTCTTATCCAAGAAACTCAAGACTTATCAACTACTCCACTGACGACATACTCTGTTTTTATTGTTTTATTCGTGGGAAACCTGAGCAAAAGATTAAAATTTTGACCAGGTCACTACAAGTCTCTGAAGATGAACTGCATCTCTTGACTCATCACACATTGTTCTAAACATGGACCAAGGATCTGAATTACACTTTTACTTTAAATAGTTTTAAGTACTTTTGGTCCAAAATGATGGGTTTTTATGGATTCTGGTCTGCCAAATATTCCATATCTTTGGGGGGATAATAATGTTGGATGTTTTTCAAAGTATTCAATATCCACAACATTGAGAAATCTCTGCCAGAAAAATGACTGTTTCAAAACTCTCTGAACCCATGATCAGTTAACCAATCAATTTGTACCATTCTAAGTCATAGAGGCCGGACCCTGTATGACGTGTCCAGTTTATCATAATAATTTAAATAATTAACATTTACACAATGTTTGTGCCCTTCAGACTGTTTTGTAGTCATTAATTATTGGAACTGCTCAACATTCATCTGAGACTATTCAATGTTATTATTTTCATTTGCCCAACAGGGAAAAGAAGGACCAGACGGGATAACTTCCCATAGGCATCAAGGCAAGAAGAGGAAGTCTGTTTACCACCGACACCTAATCTTCTATCTAGAGAACCATAATTATGGTTCTCTAGATAGAGATGAAAACACTCCCCTTTTTCATATACTTTTCTCCCTACTCACCAACATGAAGCTCCCTTCTCAAAATAACTTACATTGCCTTAAATACATACATGAAAACTGAAAAAAAAAAACACTAAGCCATATTTTTGAGGTAGAAAATGAACAATTTAGAGACTCAAAAGTTAGTTGAATGGACATTCTGCTCCTGGACTAAAGCAAGAAATCTCAATACGAATCATTTTTGGTCATTGCCACATATTCATTAATTTTAGTTAAATTGCTATGCAAGTTCTGCAGGACTTTTATTATTTCCACTTTCAATTTTAAAAATCAATGAAAGAACTCCCATGTCCAAAATATTGCTAGGTCTTGAGAGCATCTGATTTTAGTAAGAAAGAAAACACTCAGTACTGCATGAGTAAGAAAGATATTTCATAGCACTTGCAGGACAGAAGCAGGAGACATTTTTCATTTGAATTATAAATACTTTGTTATAAAGGAGGGGAAATCACCTAAAATCTATTTCAGAGGTCAAAAAGATGTGCATTTACTCATATTTAATTTTGATTTTTGAAACTATGATTTAGTGTTACTCCACCTGCACCTTTTCCATAAACACAGACATCCTTAGGGCAGCTTTCTACCTACAAACTGGACACTATTAAAAATCACCCAATTATGAAAAACAACAATTAGCATGCGAGTAATATTTTATTAGAGACTGGCACGGTTAAGACTGCAATGAGCTACTGAATCGTATAAAAGGCCAATGGAGCTAATGTCCATGGATGGGGTACCTCAACTCTGCTCCTCTCTGAGAAAGGGTCACTGGGCTGTGCTGTCTCCATGTCTTTTCAGCTTTCTGGTGGATCCAAGCAGCTCTGCTCTCAAGCCGGGGCTGCTCGGTCCTCTGGTGGAAGAACAGGCTTGGGGGCTGGGAACGTATGCAGTGGGTCAGGAGTAGGCAGCAGCTTTTCTTGTACTCTTGGGAGCGTTTCTTCCGAAGGAGGTTTGTGTAATGGTGGTGGAGGGTTGGCCAGTGGTGGAGGGTTGTCCAGTGGTGTCTGTGCTGGTTTTCTTGGAAATGAGCATGGCCTGCTCTCCGGAAATGAGAAGGTGACCATGCAGAACCTCAATGACCGGCTGGCATCCTACCTGGGCCATGTGCGCGCCCTGGAGGAGGCCAACGATGACCTGGAGCAGAAAATCAAGGGCTGGTATGAGAAATATGGGCCTGGTTCTTGCCGAGGACTTGATCATGACTACAGTAGATATTTCTCAGTCATTGAAGATCTTAAAAGGCAGGTAAGAAATACACTTTTACAACAAACTTTGGGTGTGTATAACCTTAAAAAAAAGACAAAATAGAAAATGTGCTCGGCAAATTTATGTGATGTGGAATTTGCTCACTCTACACTCCCAGTGCTTAGCACACCGCCTGGCAATAAGATTTTGTAGACTTCATTAGTGAAAGAGAAATTGTTTCCAAGTAGAATTGCTTCACTGATCTTATATCTAACTCAGACTTTTTGATCAAGAGTAATAAAAGTTGGAGGAGGGTATAGCTCAGTGGTAAAGTCCATGCTTAGCATGCATATGGTCCTGGGTTCAATCCCCAGTACTTCTATTGAAAAAAAAAGAAGAGGAAGAATTTTTTTAAGAGTAAATAAAGGTGTCCATGATTAGAAAAACTTACACTTCAGCTCTTAAGCTCAGAAGAAAATCCAGATTCCTCTAATGTAGAAAAGATGACACTAAAATAGATGCTTGATGAGTTAAGAAGAATCACACTTGGTATATTTATACAATGGAATACTATTCAGCCATAAAAATGACAACATAACGCCAATTGCAGGAACATGGATGTCCATGGAGAATGCCATTCTAAGTGAAGTAAGCCAGAAAAAGAAAGAAAAATACCATACAAGATCACGCAAACGTGGAATCTGAAAAAATAAAATGAACATAAATACAAAACAGAAACAGACTCATAGACATAGAATACAAACTTGTGGTTGCCAGGTGGGTGGGGTGGGAAGGGACAGACTGGGAGTTCAAAATTTGTAGATACTGACAGGCATATGTAGAATAGATAAACAAGACTATACTGTATAGCACAGGGAAATATATACAAGATCTTGTGGTAGCTCATAGCAAAAAAGAATGTGACAATGAATATATATGTATGTTCACGTATAACTGAAAAATTGTGCTCTACAGTGGAAATTGACACTGATTATATTGTAAACTGGTTATAATTCAGTTTTTAAAAGTGAATAAATAAATAAGTAAGAATTATGGGAAAGCAGTAAGAATGTTTCAAATGCAGTATCTGTCCTAATAAAACAAAAGAAGAAGAATCACACTTAAATCTGGAGTCTCCTTTGACGTTTGAGACTTAACATTTTGCACAATCTACCCTGTTTAGATTATTTCTGTGACCACCTGTAATGCCAGCATTGTTCTACAAAACGACAGTGCCAGACTGACTGCTGATGACTTCCGGCTGAAGTAGGTAAATATAAAGTAATTAATTATAATCTAGGTAAAAATACTACAGTTGGAGTAAAGAACATAGATTTCACTTTAAAAACCAACGTGTTTTTCTAAAGTCAGACTAGATCACTGAAGAAATTAAATTAAATATGCCCTGATAAAAAGCTGTCACAAATTTTAAACAATATTTTTATTCAACTGTTAAGCACATTGGACGCCAAAAATCAACTCTGAAGAAACAACTCCTCCCAAATAATATTCATACATCAGTGGGTATCCCAAAGGGTTTCATCACTTTGCTGTCACCAGAAGCTTCAGGAGTGTGTACTGAACGTCGTATCTTTCAGTACATGAGATGTCTGAAAAAGTTACGCTTTGGACCGCCTACGATTATCATTCTCAAGCACTTTAACAACCTTCCAGGTTTGAAAATGAGCTTGCTCTGCATCAGAGTGTTGAGGCTGACATCCACGGTCTTCATCAAGTTATGGATGAGCTGACCCTTTGCACGACCCACCTGGAGATACAGTGTGACGCACTCAGTGAGGAGTTGATGTACCTCAAAAAAAATCACGAGGAGGTAAGGAACCCTGCGGAGTAACTCTGTATGATACCCAATTTCCTTCCTCAAGTCTACTGCTCCTTTTGTTTTTTTAAGTATAGTTGATTCCCAATGATGTGTTCGTTTCTGGTGAACAGCATAGTGATTCAGTTATACATACATATACATATATATTCCTTTCCATATTCTTTTTCATTATAGGTTATTACAAGATATCGCATATATAGTTCCCTGTGCTCTACAGTAGGACCTTGTTGTTCACCTATTTTATATAAAGTAGTGTGTATCTGTTAATCCCAAACTCATGCCATTTGCAGCAACATGGATGGATCTAGAGATGATCATACTAAGTACACTTGGATCTTTTCTTCTGGACGGGGCGTAATTAAGTTTATTTATCTGTTTGTTTTTGATGGAGGTACTGGGGACTGAACCCAGGCCCTCCTGCATGCTAAGCACACACTCTACCACTGAGCTATGCCCTCCCGCCCCATCATACTAAGTGAAGTATGCCAGACAGAGAAAGACGAATATCTCATGACAGCACTTATATGTGGAATCTAAAAACATGATACAAATGAACTTATTTACAAAAGAGAAACAGACTCATACACACAGAAAACAAACTTACAGTTACCAAAAGGGATGGCAGGGAGGGCTACATTAGGAGTTTGGGATTTGCGGATACTAACCACCACTCCTTTCATAGCAGAGTGGGACTATCAGTCAAAAGTCTACCTTGATTATAATGCAGATCCCTTTGCCAGGAAATGAAAGCCCTGCAGCGAGCAGCCGGGGGGAACGTGAACGTGGAGATCCACGCCGCCCCCGGGGTGGACCTGACTGTTCTGTTGAACAACATGAGGGCCGAGTACCAGGACTTGGCAGAGCAGACCCGCAAAGATGCAGAGGCCTGGTTTAACAAGAAGGTACATCTGTGGCAAATCACACATCACGGGCTTGTTTAGGAAGACACTGAGAGGGTCACTAACCCTATGACAATTATGCTTCAGAGCACTTCGCTGCAGCAGCAGATTTCTGACGATGCGGGAGCGGCCGCGGCAGCCCGGAATGAGCTGATGGAACTAAACCGCAATCTGCAAACCTCGGAAATAGAGCTTCAGTCCTTCGTGGCCATGGTTCGTCGGAATCAGCATTGACTTGAATGTGTGTGAATACACACATACATATAACTAAAAATGTATTACATAGACATAGATATATTACCTATCAAGAATTTTGTCCATAACATCACTGTTGACTCACCAATCCCAAAACTTGAAAAAAGGGGGGAAAAAAAACTCTTTTCAATGGAGAGAAAATGTCTTTTGTTAGAAACCTGGCTATTGCCCTTGTACAAATGTTTTTTTACACCTTGAGAATGTTTCAAAAATCTGAACGTGTCTTTTATGTTACTCATGAGCCTGGCTTTGTTCTTTCAGAAAAGTTCCTACGAATGCTCCTTGGCTGAGATGGAAGGCACTTTCTGCCTTCAGCTCCAACGAATCCAGGAACAGATCAGGGCAATGGAGGAGCAACTACAGCAGATTCGAACGGAAACAGAGAACCAGAAGCTGGAGTACGAGCGGCTTCTAGATGTCAAAACAGTTTTAGAAAAAGAAATTGAAACTTACCGCAATTTAATAGACGGAGAAGGAAGGTAAATACCACCACGCGAAAAAAATCAATTTTACATCGACTAAGATTTCTTCCTATACACGTATACCAACATTGTAGCCTAGAATTTCCTACTCTAAAGAACTTACCTTAGGAATTTATTACTGCAGCCAAGTGAAATGCACATAGGCAGCAAAATCAGATTGCTAAGTATATAAAGTAATTGTACCTATTATTCATAGAGAACATTTACATATGGAATGTTGAACAATTCCTGTACTCCCAAATTGCTTTCTGTGATTTAATGTTGAAGCACATTTCTTATAATAACACATTCTATTATTGCTTCACTAGTTACCACCCATGCACCCTGTATTAAGTGGGTTATTACATTTGAAAAGATGAGCAAGGAAGATACAGGAAGATGTAATTGGAGAAGTCACCACGGCTTGTTAGCCAAGAGCAACAGCCCTGAGTGTGAATCACACCCCTGGGTGAACTTGAGCATGTTGTTTAAGCTCTATAAACCCAGTTTCCTTATTGGTAAAAACCACAATAACATCAAAACCATACACTTATCTCCTCTGAACCATAGTGCCTCGCTGTGGAGGTAAAATGCATGTGACAGTGGCTAGCACACAAAAGGTACTTGGTTATCAGTGGCTATTACTAAATGCTTGTCCATGGTCACACCGTGAGTCAGTAACATCTCATGCATCCTCCAAGGCCAGTGTCAGCCCTCGACAGCCTACTCTCAGAACCCAATAGTGACTGCTTCCTCCTTTGGACAAAGTGCTTACCACATCATTCATTTTTTTCACTTCTCTCCCAGCACGTTTCATGCCATGTTCTAGATGACTTTTTGCATGCATACACTTAATTTTCAGCAGTGTAAACTGCTGGTATCTTCACTCTATATTTTCTCCAGCCTCTAGTCTAGAACCTTCTGCATAGTAGGCACTTCAAACATGTTCACTGGCCAGGTGATTGACTTCAAAAGTCAGAATGAGAACTAGGAGTCCCCAGAGTGCTATATATGAGTTAATATCTGGTCACAAGGGAATTTATGATCATAAATACCCACTTAATCTCTTCTTTCACTGGATCGAAGTCATGAAAATGTACTAATGTCTCTTAAACATAAATTTGAATCTTACTGAAAACTAGAACTTCAAAACTTTTATTACCAGTTCAAAGTTATTTATGAGCTCCCTAATGAAAGAAAAAAATGCAATAATTTTCTCTTCTCTTCACAGAAAAAGCAAGGCCACATGTTACACATCAAAAAGGCATGGGCCCATAAACTCTGAAAATCAAGTCAAAGGTATAGAAGGGTTTTTTACTTGTGTAACCCTTTTCAACTCCAGCAATTGTATTAAATAAGTCACTTATTTGTAA